GCTGGAGTGCAGTGGCGTGATCTCGGCTCACTGCAAGCTCCGCCTCCTGGGTTCACGCCATTCTCCTGCCTCAGCCTCCCAAGTAGCTGGGACCCAGCTAGTTTTTTGTATTTTTAGTAGAGATGGGGTTTCACCATGTTAGCCGGGATGGTCTCGATCTCCTGACCTCGTGAACTGCCCGCCTCGGCCTTCCAAAGTGCTGGGATTACAGGTGTGAGCCACCACGTCTGGCTGCCCTCCCAGATTTTAGCAAGTTAGAGAGCTGTGGGTCTTGTGCACTTTTCACCAGCCGGCTTCCTAAATCCCTTTTTATTGTTTTAGCCCTAAGAGTCACAGATCATGTTACAGATCGGGGGACAGACAAGCATGGAGCCCCTGTCTCCCAGCACCCAGCCTCCGAGTCAGATGCTCCCCACGCCCTGGTCTCTCACAGCCGTGCTTGCTCGGCAAGCCTGGCTGGCCCCTCCCTGGTAGCGAAGCCGTTTATTTTATTACCTTTGTCACTGTTACGTTTCAGCTACACAAGTATTACCAGAAAGCAGTCTCCTTCCTAAAAACTTAAAATACGAGAGTTTAAGCCGAGTCTCTTGTGCCCCCCACCCCAACCATCCCAAGAGGGGACTGCTCTCTCCTGGTGGACACGAGCTCGAAACCTGTTCTACAGTTTCACCAACATGGACGTCGACACTCACGCACCTGTGTACACACGTGATGCGCATGGACACAAACATCTATGCACACACTGCCACCCAGGTACACACGTACCCGAGTGCGCCCACATACACGTACCCGAGAGTGCCCACGTACACATACCCGAGAGTGTGTGCCCACGTACACGTACCTGAGAGTGCTCATGTACACGTACCCGAGAGTGTGCCCACGTACACGTACCCGAGAGCGCCCATGTACATGTACCCGAGAGTGTGCCCACGTACACGTACCCGAGAGCACCCACGTACACGTACCCGTGTGCCCACATACACGTACCCGAGTGTGCCACCCAAGTACACGTACCCGTGTGCCCATGTACATGTACCCGAGAGTGCCCACGTACATGTACCCGAGTGTGCCCATGTACACGTACCCGAGAGCGCCCATGTACACATACCCAAGAGCGCCCACGTACACGTACCCGAGAGAGTGCTCACATACGCGTACCCGAGAGCGCCCATGTACACGTACCCGAGAATGTGCCCATGTACACGTACCCGAGAGTGAGTGTGCCCACATACACGTACCCGAGTGCCCACGTACACGTACCCGAGAATGTGCCCACGTACACGTACCCGAGTGTGCCCACGTACATGTACCCGAGTGCCCACGTACACGTACCCGAGAGTGCCCACGTACACATACCTGAGAATGTGCCCATGTACCCGTACCCGAGTGTGCCCATGTACACGTACCCGAGTGTGTGTATATGTCCGAGTGTGTGTACGTGCCCAAGCACAGGCACATTGTCCGGATGCCACATAACACTTCTTTGCAGTTGCTTCCTCCACACACACAGCGTCCCCGATCTCTCCAGGGTACACACTGCAGTGTGTGTGAACATCAAAAGCCATGCAGTGAGAGAAGCCAATCACAGCAGGTCCGTGTTGCCTGACGGCGTTCACACGGAAGTTCAGAAAGAACAGCTCTGCAGGGACAGAAAGATTTGTGGTTTCCCAGGGTTGGGGTGACAGTTATGGGTCAGGGTTTCTTTTTGGGGGTGATGACGATGTTCTGTAATTGACCGTGGTGACAGGTGCATCACCGTGAACATGCCAAACGCCAGTGAATTGTAAGCGTTAGACGGTGAGTTGGATGGTATGTGAATTACATCTCAAGTCTTTAGTCCATGCGGGGTGCTCTGGCCCAGTACCCCAGCAGGTGCCTTGTCCACAGCAGACATGCACAGCTCACAGTGCTGGAGGCCGCAAGTAGGTCAAGGCATGGTAGAGTCCCTGTGAGGGTTTCCTGGTTCACAGAGGGTGCCTTCTTGCTGCGTCCTCGCGTGGTGGAAGGGGCTAGGCTGCTCTCTGGGGCCCTTTATAAGGCACTGATCCTGTTCGTGAGGCTCCATCCACACTCAATACCTCATGACCTCATCACCCTCCACCTCCTGATCCCATCACCTGGGGGGTGAATTCAACGTGTGAATTCCAGGTGTACAGAAATGTTCAGTCCACAACTCAATGAAGCTGTCTAATCAAAACAAAAACAAAAAAGAAGAAACTAGGGGGGAAATATCTATTTAAGGTCATTCTTAACCAAGTTCATTCCTGAAAACTGCTGTGAAGTCCCCCAGAGCGTGGGACCCTCCATTCACCCCTCCCTATTAGTGGCTACAGGCTCATGCTCTCGCCCTGACAGGCCCACGCTCTCGCCACCCACTTGTGGCGGGTGGTTGGGTGAGTTTCTCTGGAAGAGATGGAGGAGTGGGGCTGCGCAATTTCTGCGATTGACCCTCTGAGAGGCTCCCCCACATGGCCCAGGACACTCAGCTGCCTCTCAGCAACACTGGGCACCAGGCCTGGAGCTCGGCCGGCCCCCGGCACGTAGCGCGGTGTTCTGTGGGTGCTGGGAGCTCGGCCGGCCCCAGGCACAGAGCGCAGTGTCCTGTGGGTGCTGGGAGCTCAAATGGCCCCAGGCACATAACGCAGTGTCCTGTGGGCGCTGGGCACCAGGCCTGGAGCTCAGCCAGCCCGGGAGCATAGCGAGGTGTCCTACGGCCTTGTGGACCCAGATGTCCAGCCTGGTCGGTATCCTGGTTCTCTCACTTTTGCCAAGGCGCCTGTGCTGGGCCGTGGTTGGGAACAGGACGTGTGTCCTGGGGTTCTCCATCATCCACCTCTGGCCTGACAGGTGGGGGTCCACACAGCTCCTGGTGCTGGTTCTCCTGGGAGGGATGCAGATTTGCCAAATGCCAGTGCTCCCCCAGGGCATGCCAGCAGCAGCCTTGGTTCCCGATCCCCCCTCAAACCCCGTCTTCACTCAGACCCCCTCTAGGAAGCCTGCTGCTCTGAGCAGAGAGGGGCCCGTGTGCCCCCGGCGTGAGCACATGTGCACACGTGTGGAGCTCAGGACTAAGCATGTTCACCTCATACATGGGGCATCCACAAGGGCACATCCTGCCTGGCTCTGCTGGAAACCCACCCAGACTTGTGTGTGGGCATCGGGTGCAGGGTCCACGAGGATGAGAACCACCCTGACTGCCCCTGACCCCCTTCTCTCTCTCCAGGCATCCGTGGGCTCCGAGAAGCTCTTTGCCCCAGGAACCGATAAAGGTAAGTGGGTCCCCCTCAGCTCGGCTCCTGGGCCTCTGAAGGCACATGGTGCGCCTTGCGTCTTGGTGGCAGGACATCCCCCTGAAGTCTGGGGAGAGATGGCCTAGGGGCCTGGGGTGCAGAACTTGGTCGAACTAGGGTGCTGGGATTGCTGGGAAGCCCCCAGGAGCAGGGGAGAGTAGAGGAAGCCACTGAGCCGTAGGCAGGGCCTGGGCTCCGCTCGCAGCAGTGGCTCCCAAGGTGGAACCGTTAGGAACGCCTGCTCTCAGGCCCTCCCCAGGCTCATGGGGTCAGACACTTGGGACCAGCTGGCACTGGAGGCCCCCCCGCCACAGGCATCATAAGCACCTGTGGCTGCCAAGTGAAAGAGAAACAGGACTCAGACTCACGTCCCTGGCTTTGCAGCCTGCGAGGCCCTGTGGTGCAGTAGAGGGGCCTGGATAGCGTTTCCAGGCCAGGCCGTCGTACCCTGTGGCTGTGAGCTGTGGGGCGGGGTGTCTACGGTCCAGCAGCCCTCTCCAGAGGGGGTAGCCCCAGCGTCTTCTTAAGGCCTCCTTGATGCTGGGATCCTGGGATTCCCACGCCAGGGCCTAGGCGGGCAGCATCTCTGGCAGGACCATGGGGTCTCGGCTCCCGCCTCTCTGGGTTTCCAGCTGGAACCGCCCTTTTGCTGGGACAGCTTCACCCGGATGTGATTAGACAGGACAGGCCCTGCCAACACCGGCAGGGATGGGCCCTACTGCCCTGTAGCAGTCATGGCCTTCACCTGCCTTCAAGTTGGAAGCCTGTTCACATCAGAGCATCTCAGCAAAGCAGGTGCAGATGGAGTGGTGTCGGAAGGGGTGTGCATGGGACGGGCCCCAACAGGAGAGGCAGGTGGCCTCGCAGACAGAGTGTCACGCGGGGCTGTTGAATACTCAGCTCACTGCCGCAGCTGCTGCTGCTACATCTGGATGGACAATGTGCCAGTGAGGGCTGGAGGTGCTAGAAGGGCACAGGAGGCCCGCAGCCTAAGCCTCTTTCCATCCTGATCATGGCTCTTACTGTGTGCAGGGCTGGCTTGGAGATGTGGGAGAGAGGAGGAGAGGTCCGGTGGGGCTGACCCAGGGGGCTGGGAAAACTGGTGGAGACAGTGCCGTGGGCTCCCTCTCTCCTGTGTCCTCTGCACAGCCTCTCTGCGGTCACTGGGGGGTGGCTGCTGTGGAAGGCCTGACCCCAGATGAAGAGTGAAGATGGGGCTGCTTCCTGCTGCCTGTTTTTGCCTGGGAGGAGCTCCCTGAGGCCCCAACAGACCAGGCTCCATGGTCACATGGGCAGGGGTGGCTGCAGCTGTCCCCATGGGCCATGGCTCCACCATCCCAAGGCCTCAGGAAGGAAGCAGGGTCTGCCAGGGACGTGAACAGGAGGCATGTCGCATTTGGAACCTGGTTTTGCTTCTGCGAAACTGGCCCCCTGATTGTGACAGCTCCTGGCCCCCTGACTGTGACAGCTCCTGAGCCCCCTGACTGTGACAGCTCCTGAGCCCCCTGACTGTGACAGCTCCTGAGCCCAGGCAACAGGAGCTCCGCTGCATGGACACTGCCCTCTCCTGGCTCCTGGGGACTTGATCTGAGACCTGCCTGAAGGGGCCTCAAAAGGAGGGTTTGGGGTATGCGGGGGTGGGGGGGCAGGCCCCAGAGGCTCAAATGGGCCCACAGGACCTGCGGGGGACATGCCTAGGTGGGCAGAAGGGTGGCGGGTGATGGGCAGTCACAGGGGGGGCAGCCTCCCACCCAGTCCCTGCCCAAGTTTCCGGGAAGTGGTCAAGCCTTCCACGAGGGGGTTCCAGAAAGAAAAGGTGGGCACCAGCTATGGGCGCTGCTGCTGGGGTGGAATGGACCCATGCCCTGGGCTGGGGGCACATCCAGGGGCGGTGAACATGAGGCATAGGCACACAGGCCCTAGCTCCTGCATTCAAATCCAGCTCCCCTCTTGGGCCAAGTCCTTGATGTATCTTGGTTTTGTCTGTTAAATGAGATCATAGCAGCCCCTGCCCAGGGACTGACTCCTGCAGGTCCTGTCCTGTCCCTGCATGCACCTTCGGGCAGGTGGGCGACCCACCCCGACCCCTGACCCAGGCCCAGGCTCCCAAGCCAGCTCCCTCCGCTGGGCGGGGCCTGGAGCCTCGGTGAGATGCAGCTGGCTGCGTGGCCTCTGTGACTGCCTCATCTGAAATGGGGGCACAGCAGGAGACCAGACGTGGCCTGGGCACCGGGCATCTTCCAGGGCTCTCTGGGCCACCGGAGGGGCAGGGACGAGGCCCTGCTGGTCTGAACGCAGCCACCCTCTCTCTGCAGGCCCAGCGCTTGAGAAGTCGGAGGCCAAGGCCGGGGCGGTGCCCAAGGTGTCAGGCCTGGAGCGCAGCCGTGAGCTCA